TGCATCCCCCCCCCCCGCCCCACCGTGTCAGAATTCGAGCTGCTCTCCGTGGCCGGTGGCCATGGCTGAGGCCGGCCCCGCCCCACGTCAGGCCTGGGTCCCCAGCCCCGTCCAGGAGCCCCCAGCTTGGGGCTCAGGGCCCCCCACTGCCCTGAGTGGGGCCAGAGCCCTGGCTGGGCTGTCGGGTGTCCCCCCTGGCCCCTTAGAGGTCCTCAGCTAGCCGGGGGCTTTGGCTAAGACCCTTCTTGCTGTGCAAGCCCCCGTATCCACCCCACAGCCCAAGGGCCGGGTGCCCCTCTGGGGCCCGGCTCCTGGCCCAGCCCCTTGCCTACCACTCCCCTCCCCAGGCCTCAGTTTCCCCCTTCTGCCCTTGGGCGTCGGAGGCCCTGCGATACTGAGCGGGGCGTCTCCCCCTGCATCTGCGCCCTTCCCCCGCCGCGGCCTCAGCGGCTGCCGACAGCAGGGGGCACTTTGACTCTTCGGTGAGCCCGGCAGCTCCTCCCCACCCCCCTGCACCTGCCTGCCTTGCAGAGCTGCTCCTGAAAGGCCCCTCTGTGCAGCTGCTGCTGGCTCGGACCCTGCCCACCTCGGACGGCGGGTCTGGGTCTCGGCTGGCACGTACACCATGCAAATCGTGGAAAATGTACACGTTTCCCAGCGTCCTCTCCCGGCTCCGTCCTGCTCAAAGGCAGAGCCAGCCACCGCCCACTGGCCTGCCTCCCTTCCCCTGCAATATAGCCCCTGCCCTTGTCTGGTCCTCCAGGGACACCCACGGATCCCCCCATCACCCCCTCTTGACGTCCACCTCCCCCAACTCCCTCCCCAACCCCCCACCCATACACAGCAAGGCAGGAGCAGCCCAGGAACCCACCAGACCAATAGGGTGGTCATGGCAAACAAACCGCCAGGCTGGGGCCCAACCAGCCTCTGTGCCTGGGTGACCCTTGGTCGAGCGTGGCCTGCTCGGCTGGGCCCAGCAATTCCCCACGAGGCCCCGGGCCTCAGCACAGAGGGCCAGGAGACGAGACCAGCTCCGAGGTTGCCGGAGCTTTCCCAGAGGCTCAAGTCTCAGAATTCCTCGGCCCTCCACTCGCCTGACTGCCCCTGTTTTACAGATGGGGAAACTGAGGTTTGGGAATGAGAAGAGACTCGAACCACACCACAGAAGGGGTCCATAGGCTTTCCTCCTGTTCCCATAGGTCCTGGCAGCTCGCCCATGGGAACCAGGAAGGCGAGGGACTGAACCAAGCCCAGGACCACCTGCAGGAGCTGTCTCTGAGCCAGGAGGGGCCGTGCCCAGAGGAGACCACCCAGGGCGAGCAGGGGGCGGCAGCAGAGGCCGACGAGGAGGTGACAGCTCCCCTCAGGGTCTGGGCCCACTCCCACATCTAGACGGGTCTGCCTGTGCCGTCTGCACCACTGGGGGGGGGAACCCATGGGATTGGCCAGAGGGAGCCAGTGTCCCACACCCTCAGGCCCACATTCTCAGAGGGGGTGAGGCTCTGTGGCCTCCGGAAAGATTCCTCCTGCCTGGTCAGGAGACACTGCCCTGGAGGCACCCATCCCTCCCTGAGAATTCCAGGTCTGGAGCCTGTAGGGCCAGGAGGACCTGAGGTCTGGGCTGGTGGGAAGGAAGGTGGGGTCTGCCCTCAAGGTCCTGGGTGGGGCAGAGATGGGCAAGCAGGGTGGTCATCCGGGGGCCTGGGCTTTCTTTCCCCAGCACCAGGAATGTCAACGACCCAGGACCCCCTGCCCCCCAGAGCTGGCGGAGACCGCCGACCAGAGCTCACCTCCCCTGAGCCCCACCACCAAAGTAAGTCAAGCTCCAGACCACCCTCTCTCCTCTCTCACAGACCCATGGCCCGGACATGTCAGTCCCGGACCTGGGGCGTTGGCCCAGCCCCTGGTCTGCCGTCCCCCTGTGCCTGGCGCTCAGCAAATCCCTGGGACATGAAAGTGGGTTACTGGGCTGGTGGGAGGGAGGAGTTGGGGGTGGGGATGGGCCTCGCCTTGGCTGCCTGAGGCCCACATCTCTGTCCACCCCCACCCCCAGCTCATCGACAGGACCGAGTGCCTGAACCGCGCCATAAAGAAAAGGTAATGTCTGTTTACCAGTATCCCAGCAAGGGCTCCCCCAGAGAAGGCTGAAGAGAGGCACTGGAAAGTGGAGATCTGGCGACCAGGGAGGCTCTGGGTGGCGCTCAAAGTGGGCTGGGAGAAGTCTGGTGGGGGAACATGAGGGCTGACCCTTCTCCTATCCTCCAGTAATAGTGTGAAGAAGTCCCAGCCACCCGTGCCTGTCTCCAAGATTGAAGAGCGGCTGGAGCAGTACACCCAGGCCATTGAGGTAGGACCAGGCCCTCCTTTGCTATGGGTCCCTTCTCCATCCAGGCACCGCTCCTCCATCCACTGACACCTTTCTATCGAACCAACATTCCTCCATCCAGCCAAAGCCCTTGCATCCAATCACAGCCACGTCCTTCCACCAACCAACACTCCTCCATCCAACCAAAGCCCTTCCATCCAACCGACACTCCATTATCTGATCAATACGCCTTCATCCAGCACTCCTCCATCCAGCCAAAGTCCTTCCAACCAACCACATCCTTCCATCGAACCAATGCTTCTCCATCCAATCACTGCTCCTCCATCCAATCAACATTCCCTCATGCAGCCCGAGTCCTTCCATCCAACCAGCACTTCACCATCCAATCAATGTTCCTCTGTCCAACCAACACTCCTCCCTCCAATGTCCTGTCGTTCAATGTCCTGTCATCCAACCAGCACCCTTCTAACCAACCAGTACTCTCCCCCCACTAAATGTCCCTCCATCCAACCAGTACTGGATCCAACTAATGCCCCTCCATCCAACCAATACTCCACTATCCAACCAATACTCCTGCCACTATTCAGGACTCTCCCATCCAACCAATGCTCCTCCATCTAATCAACACTCTTCCATGCAACCAACACTTCTCTATCCAACCAATACTCTTCCATCCAAGCAATACTCCTTCATCCAACCAATATATTCCTCAATCCAACCAATATGCCCCTTCAACTATTCAGTACTCTTCCATGTAATCAATACTCCTTCATCCAACCAATACTCCTTCATTCAGTTGATATACTTCCATTCAACCAATACTCCTCCATCCAACCAATACCCTTCCCTCCAACCAATACTCTTCTATCCAACCAATACTCCTCCATCTAATCAATACCTTTCCATTCAACCAACACTCCTCAATCCAACCAATGCTCTTCCATCCAAGCAATACTCCTCCCTCCAACCAATGCTCTTTCATCCAAGCAATACTCCTTTCAATTTCTATTTCTTCACTCAATCAATGCTCCTTCATCCAACCAGTACTCCTCCAGCCAACCAATGCTCTTCCATCCAACCAATACTCCTCCATTCAACCAATACCTTTCCATTCAACCAATACTCCTTCATCCAACCAATACTCCACCATTTAGTCAATACTCTTTCATCCAACTAATACTCCTCCATCCAACCAGTACTCCTCTATCCAAGCATTTTTCCTCCATTCAATTGCTACTACTACATTCAATCAGTGCTCCTTATCCTAACCAATACTCCTCAGTCCAACCACTACTCCATCTAATCAATATCCTTCCATCCAACCAGTACTCCTCAGTCAACCAATACTCTTTCATTCTAGCAATACTGCATCCAAGCAATACTCTTCCATCCAATTGATACTTCTTCAATCAATGCTCTTCCATTCAACCAATACTCCTCCATCCAACAAATACCCTTCCATCCAACCAATATTCCTTCATACAAGTAATACTCCTCCATCCAATCGATACTTCTTCATTCAGTCAATGCTCTTCCATCCAACCAATACTCTTCCATCCAAGCAATACACCTTCATCCAAGCAATACTCCTCCATCCAATTGATACCTCTTCATTTAATTGATGCTCTTCCATCCAACCAATACCCTTCCATCCCCGGTGCTCTGTCTCTTCTGCAGACTGCTGGCCGAACCCCCAAGCTAACCCGCCAGGCCTCCATAGAGCTGCCCAGCATGGCCGTGGCCAGTACTAAGAGCCGGTGGGAAACAGGAGAGGTACAGACTCAGTCTGCCGTCAAGACCCCTTCCTGCAAGGTAGGACCTCCCACTCCCACCCCGGTGTAGGCTGACCAGGGGAGTCTGAGCCTGGAGACAGTTGCAGGCTGGGTTTCCTTGGAGAGACAAGCAGGGGACTGTCTGGGATGAGGTGGGTGGACAGAACACTGGGGCCTTGTGGGGCTGGGTAAGCCTTCGCCGGTGTTGAAGGTGGAGAGGCCTGTGAAGGTGTATGGTGCTTTCTTTCCTTTCTCTGCCTCTTCCACTGGGGTCTCACCCAAAAGTGAGGTGGGCAGGTCCCAGGACCCCTGGCTTCATAAAACCAGGCCCAGACTCAGAGGTGCACACCTGGGACATAGCCTCCTTCTGTCTCCAGGATATTGTAGCTGGAGACATGAGCAAGAAAAGCCTCTGGGAGCAGAAGGGAGGCTCCAAGACCTCATCAACAGTTAAGGTAGGGTCTAAATGGAGTTGGTACAGACAGGGCAGAGAGCAGCTGCCCTCTAGGCATCAAGGAGGGCTTCCTGGAGGTAGAAGTGGCCTCCTCTCCCTTCTGCCACCTCACTCTCTGTCTCCTTCCTCCACAGAGCACCCCATCTGGGAAGAGGTATAAGTTTGTGGCCACTGGGCATGGGAAATATGAGAAGGTGCTTGTGGATGGGGGCCCAGCGCCCTAGGCCGCCCACCCGGTGAGTTAGGGACTCCCACCGAAGCGTGATGTAGTGTGCCTGAGTATGTGGTTCTGGGAACATGGCGGCGTGGACAGGGCCTGCTTGTCCCTAGCACAGGCTGCGAAGCTGGGCTCAGAGCCGGCCACCACCCAGACCGGCTCGGTCTCCCATCCCTGCATGGACTTGGCTGCCCTCACCTGACTCTGGGTTCAAACTCTGTTCATTTCACCAGAATCCGCGGCCACTGCCCACAGGGATGCTCAAAGCTTCCTTCCGGGACCCCACCAATTCCCTAGGGCTTACTAGGGAGGTGAGGGCAGCTTGGTCACTGCAGGGATAGGCTGAAGGACCAGGATGGAGCCCCGCCCATCCGTGGGTCCCAGGTCTACAAGGGGCCAGGGCCCAAGTCCTATCCCCCCATCCCAGCCGAGGGCTGCCCGGGTTTCTGCTGCCTTCCCTGTCCCTTGGTGAAGACAGAGAGGTGACACCCCTGCCATGGTCAGACACACTTTTATTCGTGGCCTGGGTCCCAGGCTCCATTTACAGCACCCATGACACCCCGGGTGGGGCAGCTGGCCCTACCGTCTTCCCCCTGAATCCCGGACCCTGGTGAGCTGACCCGAGGCTCTTCCTGGCATGTTGGCAGCCCTCTCTTACGGCCGATGGCCCTGCTGAGCCTGGCTGACTAGGGTCCCTCTGGTGCCCTGCCTGGGCCACGGCCCCTCCTTGGCCTGGCCTGGCTCTTCACCTGGCCCTAGGGTGGAGGGTAGGACACCGCCTCCTCTGGCCGCCAGATCTGGCCATGCCCCCACGCCCCCGTCCCCCGCCCCTCAAGCTCTGTCCTCAGGCCATCAGCCCAGGGGGGAAAGCAGAGGTGGGCGGCCAAAGGGGTCATCGGCGGGCCCTCCTCCCGCAATCCACCGCCCCCATGTGAGCCAACTCCCACACGCCCCTGGCCCTGGGGTCTGGCCCTGTCCCCAGGACTCATGGGCAACGGGACTGCCGCCCCAGCTCACGGTGGGTGGCAGTGGCCATGCACCCTGACTGCCCCTGCGTTACACAGTGCACAGACCCTGCCCAAATCTTTGACGGCGGGTGGGGCCGCCTGCAGGAAGCCCAGGCCAGCCCTGCCCAGGGAAGTCAATATGTCCAAGCCCCTGCCTCCTATCAGATGTGTGCATTTTCCACGCTACCCAGCTTCACCGCCCCCACCACACCCCACGCAGACCTCTCCTCCACCCGCTCCACACACCAAGACCCCGGGTATCCCATCATCCCCCGCTTTCCAACTTGCCCTCCCTGCTCTGGCCCCCTGCCCTCTGACTGCCGGTCTCCCCTTCCCTGGTGCCCCCTCCCCAGGCCGCCCCGCCCCCTGCACCCCTCTGGCCCTGGTGCCCCCTCGCCCGTCCACGCCATGGTCCATGTCATGGTCCACGCCACTCCAGCCGTGTCACTGGAGCCTCCAGCCTGCCGCGGTGCGGTTAAAGTTCTTGGGCTGGGGGCTGAGCCCCAGGACAGGGTGGAACGAGGGCGGGGGCCGGGCGGCCTCCTGAAGCTTCCGGGCGTTGAAACGAGGCCCACACAGGAAGGGCAGGCGGGTGAGGCCGGCCAGGGTGCAGGCCCTGTCTCGGGGCACGGCTGGGCGGCTGCGGGCCTCCACCACCGACACGCGGTACAGCACGGCGTCCCACATCCTGGAGGCCCGGGAGGCGGGCGGCCGGGCGGCGGGGATGGCTGTATCCCATGCACCCGGCTCTGGACTCTGCCCCGGGCCGGGGGCCGGGGGCTCCTCCGCCTCTTCCATCAGCTGCTTCTTGAGGCGTGTCCAGCCG